GAGGAGAAGGTACAATGTACTTGGCCCAACACCCAGTTCTCTGTAGATCAACCACAGTGTGGTTGATGAATTTCAGACAAACCAAATATTGGCATATAGTAAAACTCATAACAACACCCTGTTAGTAACAACAAAATAAAACAATACTGGAGTCAAAGACAAAACTGGATATTGACATACCATATGAACCATTGAAAACTACCATTATATCACCGTTAATAATAGAAAAAAAATCTGTAATTATAATGTTGACACAGGCAAACCAAATACCAACATACAGTAGATATCTACTAAATAGAACAACTATATCACCATTAACAATAGAAAAGAATTCAACAGTAGTAGCATAGAGTCAACTAAATACCTTAAGGATTAATAAAACAATGCTGATAAAAAATGGAAGGGTAATGGAAAAATGAAAGAAGTAAAATTTGAAAAATGAAGATGAAGAGGAAAGAAAAGTGTGATAACAGATCTAGTTAAGGAATAAAAGAAAATTAGTAGGGTTGGATAAAAGTAACAAAAGAACAAAGAAGGCAAAGAAAAAACAGCAAAATAAATGAAAAAGGAAAAAAAATCCTCAAACTCCTGAAATCATTGAAGAGGAGAAATGAATCCCTAAAATTCCTTGTTATGTTTGAATGGGTGCTTTTTTTCAGGATGTGCGGTATTGGAATCCACTCTGTATGGAGGAGGGACAGTGAGTCACTACTAAGAGACCTATTTTGTTTTCATGCACTCAACATTTTTTGAATACTGAGTCCTGCCCTACCTTTTCTGATGGGTGTGGTTGGTCAATGATGCCCACCCTAGGACTGTTATCACTCCAGCTACTCCCAGTTTCCTTGTTTCTCTGTGTACCCCAAGTCATGGTATTCTATACGTAGCTTTTTAGCCTGTGGCTTTTGTGAGGTGCCTGTCCCTGTTCCATAATGTCCTCTGTTCATACATCTTATGTCAGTGGTGGCAAACCTGTGGCTAGCATGCTACAGCAGGCTGTTTATATCATTGAAAGCTCTAACAGATTCGCCAGCACTACCCTAGGCTGTGGCAACATTTTTAAGTCATAAAATTTCCCTGATCCCACTGGCTGATAGGGAAACAGGCAGACTACTGAGCATTGTGATGCTGGCAGTAAGATCCAGTGAGTCAAGCAATCTACTGAACTTAATTCCAGCACTATCAGACCCAACTCCTTCTGTAAAGGACACATGACCGGCCTGGCTTCTTCCCACAGAGGGCAGGACTCCATATCCTTTCTGGCCTGCGCTTAAGCTTCTCAGTGGTCTGTATCTGTCTATTCCATGCATTCTCCATAACTATCTCTTGTGACCATCTCCCTCTTAATCCCTGTGGTAGAGTGACTTCAAAAACCCTAAAGTAAGGGCTATGGGTTTATCTTAGTGGTGCCACTGCCTGCCTCACAAACACAAGGACCCAAGTTTGATCCCCAGTTTAAAAACCTAAAGTGTAATTGTTCTGTGACTTCTGATTCCCAGAGTATCTCAGTCTTAAGCAATTAAGACTTCCCAAAATGACTGCTGGTCAATTATTTAGGTATGGCAGGCACTATATTGGATTTCTTCTCCAACTGTAGCCTATCATATGGAAGGAATTACTTTCAGAGTAAATCCTCATGCTGTTTTGGAACTTTACAATAACTGTGGGCTTTTCTTGGGGTTAGCACTACCAGTCTAGTCTATTGTTTCTCCTGGGGATTGCTGACCCTCTCCAGGCTTACCTTGCATTAGTGGAGACAGGTCTTCCTCCCTAGGAGCCAGGCTGAGTGTTCCAGCCTGCTTTGTTCTTTTCTCAGCATCGTTTTTCACATTCACCATTTTCTCTTTAGTTTCTAGTTTTCCTGTCAGTTCCTTCTTGATTTCAGGAGTTCTGCTACTTCTTTTCTTCTCAAAATACTTGTTTTCCAGGTGGCTCAATTCTAGGTCCTGGAGCTAGTGTATTTTGTTTCTAATCCTTACCTTATTTAATTTCTAAATTAACCATTTTTAGGTATGCAACCCAATGTCATTAAGTACATTCACATTGTTAACACTGTCAATACCACTGTTCACACATAGAACTTTTTTCATCTTGTAAGATCACATTGAGACACCACATCATATCCATTGGGATAGTTATTTTTTAAAACGTAGAAATGCCACATACCAGTATTGGATATGATGAAATTGGAATCCAAGAGCCCTTGAGTGGTGGTATGAATGTTAACTGCTACTGCCATTATGAAAAACAGCGCAGTGGTTCCTCAAAAATTAAAAATAGTGTGCATTGAATCTCTTGCCTCTTGCAAAATATATAAAACCAGGGAGGAGCGTGGGACAAAAGGGAAATTATTAAAGTATGTTATGTGTATGTGCAAATCTGCCAAAGGAAAACCTATTACTCTGTATGACACATTTGCACTGCTACAAAAAGTTGGGAAAAAATTAAAATTAGAAATAACATATGATCCAGCAATTCCACTTCTAGATATATACCCAAAGAACTGAAAGTAGGGACTCAAGGACAAATTTGCACATAGGCTTACAGCAGCCAATAGTCTCAATAGCCAAAAGTGAGAATCAGCCAAATGTCAATAGACAAATGAATAGATAAACTCAATGTGTTATATGCATATAATGGAATATCATTCCTCCTTAGAAATGATATCCTGTATAAATGCTGCAACTTGGATCAATCTTGAAAGTATGAATTAAAGTGATCTATTTATAAAAGGACAATATTGAACAAGTCTCCTTATACAATGTACCTTGGGTGGTCAAACTTACCTATTGTTTTCTTTAGTTGCCTGTGTATTTGGTGTCATATCCAAAAAGTTATTGCCAAATCCAGCATTTGGAACAGTTCCCCTATTTTTTGTAGTAGTTTTATAATTACTTTGTATCTTTAATCCATTTTGAGTAAATGTTTGTAAGTATTGTAAGTTAAGAATTAAATTTATTCTTTTATATATAATCTTCAGTTTCCTGACACCATTTATTGAAGAGTGTTTTTTTCCTTTGAGTGTTGTATTAGCTATCCATTGCTGTAATAAATTCCTGAGATAATTAACTTATAAAAAGTAAAGATTTATTTTGGCTCACAAGTTTGGAGTCTTCAGTATATGATGGGTTAACCCTGTTGCTTTTAGGCCTGTAGTGAAGCAGCACATCCTGGTAGGGAGCACATGGGTAACTGAGCAGAACTGTTGACTTCCTGGCAGAGAAGTGAAAGACAGGACAAGGAAAGGGCCTGGGTTTCACTAGCCCCCTTCAAGGGAATACCTCCAGTGACTAGAAGACATCCCACTAGTCCCCACCTCTCAAAGTTTCCAGCACTTCATATAATGCCAAGTTGGACACCAAGTCATTGATACATAGGCCTTTGAGGAAATTCAGGATTCATGCTATAGCAAGTGGATTTGATATCCATCTCAAAACATCATTCAGCCATATATTTGTTTCTGATCTATTCTTTTATTGTTTTATATGTCTGTCTTTATGTCAGTACTACACTTTCGTTACTAAATATTTGTAGTAAGTTTTGAAATCAAAATATGTAAGACTCTACTGTTTAATTTTTTCTACTCTAATCTTTATTATTTATTTTATTCTCTTTAGGTTTTTTAGTTTGCTCTCCTTTTTGGAGTTTTTAAGGCAGTAAACTAGATTACTAAATCGTGATCTTTTTTCTTTTTAAGATGGGGTGTTACTGTATTGTCCAGGCTAGCCCCAAACTCATGGGATCAAGCAGTCCTGCCTCAGCCTCCTGAGCTGCACCTGATTTTATTTTTTAATGTAGGCATTTATAGGTACCAATTGATCTCAAGATATTTTCTCATTTTGCTTTATTTCTTTGATTTAATGGTCATTGAAAAGTGTACTGTTTAATTTCCACACACTTAATTTCCCTAATTCCTCTTTTGTTTTTTCCTTTCTTCCTCCCTTCTTCCCTCTTCCCTCCCTCCCTCTTTTCCTTCTTTCTTTCCTACCATCAAACTTCAGGCTTTACATTTGCTAGTCAAGCCCTCTACCACTAATTTCTAGTTTCATTCCTTTGTGGTCAGTCTTGGGCACATGCACAAGTACCCTGGAATGACAGTGCTTTTAACAAAGCTCTCATTACTTTCTTTCCCTCATCTGTCTAAGGTGTCTGCTTGTTTCAGTATTATAACCAACTCGTTATGCTCCACTAATTACTAGCCTCCCTTCTCTGTTGTTTTTGTCAGTGCCCCAAGGCATAAATTGCTCAGCCATCTGATTGAATTAAATTTGGGTAAGGATAGTTTGTGAGGCCAATCTTTGAGGGTGGATCTGTCCCTAGGAGGTCTGTACTTCTCACTTTCCTTGCTTCTCCCTAAAGAGCTAGCCAACCTAGTCTTTAGTTTCTTCTTGTTCTTATATAAGATGAACTATTATTTTGTTGGACACTTTTAGCCTTGGACTTCCACATACTTTGTTTCAAATAGTTTCTTTGGGGAGAGCTTGCAGCTCTCTTTTCTTGCAATGCTGATGTTGATGTATCCTGCTTTAAATTTTTTTCCTCCATACCGTGTGTCCAGCATCCCTATCTATAGTCATCTTCTGATATGGCTGTTTTGTTAGATGCTTTGAGATGTTCTTGAGTGTGTGCTTGTAATCAATTTTATATCACAGACTTTGTTTCTTACTCTAACACTTTTTAATCAACTTGAAGTCCCATTCCTGTTAAGTGATTTTTGACTTGATAGATTTTTTAAATTTTTGAGTAGCATGTGCTTCCACATGTACAAAAGTCAGTTACCAAAAAGTATATAATTTTTTTAAGTTTCCATGAAATCATATGGTATTAAGGATTGCTTCAAAATAATTGAAAAGTGTTTGGCAGTTGCCCCAAATTAAACAGAATTTATCATCTAACCCCATCATTCTGCTCTTAGTTATATACTCAAAAGAACTGAAATCAGATGCTCAATCAAATGTTTGTATACTCTTTTTCATAACATCATTACCACAATAGCCACAAGGTGAAAACAGCTCACATGTTCATCCACTGATAAATGGATAAACAAATTATAGCGTGTTCATGCAATGGTAATTATTCTTCTACAAAAAGCAGTGGGGTCTGGAGTTGTAGCTCAGTGGTGCTGTGCCGGCCTGCAAGCATAAGGTCTTAAGTTTGATCCCCGATACTGCAAAAAAAGGAAAAAAAGGAATGTAATATTTGCACATGCTATATTGTGAATGAACCTTGAAAGCATTATGCTAAGTGAACAGCTAGGTACAAATGATCACATTTTTTGATTCTACCTATATGAAATATCCCAAATAAGTAAATCTGTAGAGACAGAACACAGATTGGTGTTTTAAAATAATCTTCCCAACTATATCCCCTGATTACTCAGTTCCTCTTCCAGAAGCATCCACTCAAAGCAGTTTCTTGAATATCCTATCAGATACATACTGTACATTTCTGCGAAAATTATCTTCTTCAATACTATACACTATACCTTTTTTTGGCCTCTTGATTTTTTGACGTAATATCTTGACTTTTGTTTCCTGTTGATTTATAAAAAGCTGCCTTACTCCTTTTGCTGTTTGCATAGTATTTTGTTGTATAAATCTAATGTAAGTCAAGTCAATCCCTTATTATGTTGTTTATAATCTTAAATCATACTCTAATGAGTGCTCTTGAATTGTATACATCATTTAATACATATGCAAGTGTGTTTATTGGATTAGATTATTCAAAGTGGAATTCTTTCAGAAGGGTATATCTTTTAAATTTTGTTGGATATAGAAATATTGCTTTCAGTAGGAGTTATACCAATTTATATTCCCATTAACATTCAGTAAATGTCTAATTCATAGGTGGAATAGCATGTAATGAATCATAAACAAAATAAAAATGATTTTCATCAAGACCAGCCTGGGCTACATAGTGAATTCCAGGTCAGTCTTAACTACATAGTGAGACCCTGTCTCAAAACAAAAAACAAAAAAAAAGATTTTCATAAGTCAATTCTTAAACATAATAAATAATAAAACATAATAATTTCAAATTTTGATACATGCTACAAAGAAAACAAGATGAAGTTATAGAGTAAATATGAAGTCATTAGGGATGATGAGTAAGGAAGGTGAAATTTGATCTGAGATTTCTCCTAAAAGATAAGAATGATCCAGCATGAAAATAGGTACTGTGCAAGCATTCTAAACAGTAAAACAGTACAATGGCTTAAGGATTTCAAGGAAAATGAGACCAATATGGATTAGTACTTAAAAACAACAGGTAGAATGGAGTAAGAAAAAGCTTCAACTGACATAGGTAGCCTTCTGTTTTCTGTTCAAGAGTGCCATGGAATACAGTGGAAGTGTTAATTGTGTTGCAATAAAAAAAAGAATAGAGCAATCCCAAATAAATAACCTAATAATGCATCTTAAAGTCTTAGGAAGATGACAAAAAACAGAAGGAAGGGAATTACAAAGATCAGAGCAGAAATTAATGAACTTAAGACTAAAAATAATACAAAGAATCGGTAAATCAGAGTTGGTTCTCTGAAAGTATGGAAAGGGAATCTGGGGACAGAGTAGATAGGAGGGAGCATAGGGGAAGTAAAAAGACCAAGATGTCATATGTACTGTATATGTACCATATATCTAAAACAGCCTCAGTCATTATGAAATAAATTCTCAATATTGAAGGGCATTGTACTGTAATATGCAGAGTTTTCTCTTAGTGATATTTAATAATGTTATTTCTTAGAAATGATGGATTTTAGGTTCAGTAAAGCACAGTAGGTGATAATTAAAGCTAGGGAATAGATGAGTAAAGATTTAGATATTCATAGAATCTATTATATGCACTGCCTGCTTAACCAGATATTCTCTTTATCCTTAAAGACTCAATTCAAAGATCACATTCCTCAGAAAAAAGTCTTCTCAAACATCATCTATATCTATTCTAGTGCCTAACTGCAGAATTAAAAAAAGAAAAAGTCACAGATTAGCTAAATGATGCTTAAATTATTCACTGTGATTTTAGTTTCCCTGTTTTTTGTGCTTCTGGGGAGAAGGAAATATCAAGGATTATAGTGAGCATCTATTCAAAAGAAATCCAAGAGTGATGATAGGAATAGAATTTAGCAATGTGTAAGAGTGAAAAAGTATCTTTTCTGGTGATTTTTTGCTAATGGAATATTTTCATCCCCCATGTCTCCCCACTTCTTCTTCTTCTTTTTTTTTTTTTTTTAGGAAAGCCCAGAAGAAAGAACAATAAACATGAGCTCTATTCAGGTAAAGTAACTTTATTTTTATCCTGGTCAGGGATTTCCTGCCTGTGAGTTAATTTTATTAAAAGACTTTATACCTTTACTTTTTTCTAAATCTTAAGTCTGATGCCTCTTTGGTATCAAAGTATGATATTTGCCTCCTACGTTCATTTCAGTGACTTACATGAATTTATTGGCATACACCTCGTTCATTCTTTTCTCAGATATAGTTCTTCATAGTTTGACTCTTGCTGTCATGACAATGCATTGTCACAGTGTTTAGTAGTACCAGCTATATGTCTACAAAGTGTAATATGACTGACTTTTAAAATATTATACAATTGTCTCATTATTATAGAAACTCCTGCTGTGTACATATTTATTTTAGGCAGTAATGCAATAATGTCTGTTCCTGTGCTACATATTTTAGGTGTTAAATTTCTTGAGTATGGGAGTGATGGCACATATCCATTTCATGCTATCTCATTCAGTTGAACTGGTTTTTTGTTTTGTTTGGTTTTTTTTTTGCCAAAATAATGAAAGAGATATTTAGCTTTTGGACTTGGGTGTGTTCTGGTTTAACTGTTAACTAGCAATTAGTTTCCAATTATGATCTTGGCCCTTCTGAGTTTACTTTTGCCATGTGCATCAAGGATAATGTGTACTTTTCCCAGAAAAAGAAAATGAAGTACAGAATAAGCATACATATTTGATAAGTAATTTTCCTTTTTCTGTGCCTGCAGGGGAAGAAATGGAACTGGTATTTGGACTATTTATTTTCAGAAGGGTTACAAGGCTTGAAATTTTTCATAAGAAGTAGTATTCATCATTCTTCTGTCCCCTGATTGGAAAGCATAACCACAGCGATGAACATTAAATAATGAAAGTTGGCATAAAACAAATTAAGCATGCTGAACTAAATCCTTCCTAATTGCTGGAGAGGCCAACTAGTTCAACTTGAGTTTTCATATTTAATTCACTAACAGATTACAATCTGCAAGGAGTACTCAGACTGGCCTTTTGACTATGGCTTAAGAAAACCCTGATGTTGCTAACTTATTTTTCACGAGTTAAATTTTTAGCCTATTTGTGAAAAATTGCCTCTTCATCATCAGGCTCTGCCTTCCACAAAATTATGCACAAAGAGCCACATATGTTTTATAATGAAATTTTTTTCATTTTTGTGTACTATAAGCTGCCACTGATGAAAGAGAGCAAATATGGTAGTATATATACAAGTAGTAGTTAATCCACAGACATACTCATGCAAAATATTTTGCTAACTTCATGAAATCTCTATATTGCCATTTTTTTCTTATGTGAATAGTACCAGGATCAAATTAATATAATACAGTATATATGATTCTTGAGCCTAAAGTAACTGATGAATTCCTAGGTCTTTACTGGTAGCAATTTAAAGAGGGAAGAGAGAGAAGAGAAGTATGGCGATAATCAAGGTGTTTCTGTTTGTACTGGTTTGATTTTATGGAAATGCTCTTATTTTATTTGTGTTTATATGGATATATCTAGTTTTTAAATATTTAAACCTGTATAATTTAACTTTACTTGCAGAAGTACTTCTGAAGCTTTTTAAAATTTTCATAATAGCTAAAATATGTTGCGTAAAATTTGCCATAAAATTTCCTTCAGTGCTACTGAATAACTTTTAATAAAATTCATACTATTTGAGAGGGATAAAGCTGAATTTATCTTTGCTTTAAGGGCCCATTCTTGTGGTTCTTTTTCTCCCTTCCATTTAAGCAAAAACAATACTATTAGGTATTTTGAGGCTAGAAATCCCATTTGTTGATTTAATCGATATTTATTAAGTTCCTTGCTGTGTGCCAGGTATTCTTCTGTGTGCTGGTTATCCAGCTGCGACTAACACAAGTACCCACTTTTATGGAATATGCATTCCAATAAAGATGACAGACAATAAGAATATAAGTAAATATGTATCAGGTACCATGAAGAAAAATCAGGGGGCAAGGACATGTGGAGGTTTGTTCCAGCAAAGGTGGTTGTAGAAGGCCTGTTTGAAGAGGTATCATAGGTAGAAACCCTAATGAAGTAAATATATAAGCCATGTGACTATTTGGAGAAAAAGCACTCTGAGCAGTGTTGAAGGCAAGTGAAGAGGCCCTAAAATGATAATATATATGGGAGATATATGCTCTCCTAGGTTTGTGTTTGTTTTGGGGGGCGGTTTTGTGGTATTTTTTTTGTCCATATTTCTCCTTCCTTTGTCAGTTCGTTAACCCACTTCAGATAAGATATATAGTTGTGCAAATGACCCAAGTCTGTTTATTTGAAAAATCTGACTGGAAATGCTTTATGGCAAAAAAAAGATTTAAATAAAAATTGCTATTTTGCTTAGTGCAAAGGCTATCTAAAAAGAGAGGGAAAGGAAATAGAAATTTTGGTTTATTATTGTACAAAAATAATTCTTTTTTTACCCAATATTTATGGAAAAATTTTTGGTATTATTAATATTGACTTAAGTTCAATACTAAAGTTGCTATTCAGTTTCTAACATTTTATTTTCCTTCCTATTCTTAGAGTTGATCTGGAAAGAAAAGTAGATAAGTCTATGGCATCCTATGTAGTTTTTATTAACATAGTAAAAAAAATTGTCTAAAATTGATAATATATTTTAAAGATGTCTTTTAAATTGATGTTACCTTTCCTTTTGTTTAAACTATTAGGTTTTTTTTTTAATATAGATAGCCTATATTTTGGTCATGTAAAAATCTCCTCAGCCTCCCCAGGGCTGGAAATACAAGCACACACCACCATACCCAGTCATGTAAATGTCTATTTCTCATATATTGTTGACTTGAATAATCAGTTGAAACTTGTAATAGGGAAGAGTTCTAAATGATATACAAGGGGCTCAGTGATATTTCTAACCAGAGAAATATTTATTTTATTGGTCAGAATTAGCAAAGGCAATCATTTAAGGCCTCTGAAGAGTGATAGGAGGATCTATAACAAATTGAGAATCGTTTATTCATAATTTGCAGAATTCAGTAACAAACGCATGTGCCTATCTTAGTTACTTCTCTTGTTAAAGGAGGAAAGGTTTATTTTATTTCATTTTACACTTTGTAGAGGCTTCAGTCCATAGCTAGCTCACTGTAAGCCACAGCAGCATGGCAGAGGGGCATCATGGTGGAGAAACAGTCCATGGCATGGCAGGCAGAAAAGCAGCAAGTAGCAACCTTACTTTCCCTTTTGTTCCATTTAGGCTACAAGCTTATTTTTTTATATACCCATACCCAGGTTGAGACTTCCTGTTATTCACACCCAGAACTTTGCTAAACCAATCAGTAGACTAATTTAGTTATCACAGATCCTTAATCCATATTCACACACCCTAGACCCAGCAACCACTGAAAAGCCCCAGCTATAAGCACGTGAAGCTTTGGCGGGACATAGAGATGCAAGCCACAACAACCTATAACATCTGAGCCAGAGATTACACTCATTTCTTACCCAGTTCCATGTTGCAAAATGACTGTTGTGGAAGACGTATGCCACAGCACTTGGCAGCAAAGTAGCAGTTAACATTTCCCGCACATACTACTCCATACTGCAGAAATTCTACCAAGGAGAGTATCAGAGCAAACCTCAAAGACTGGCCAAACCCTAACCTTACCTGAGAGACCTTTCTTTGGATTGAGGAGGAACTTAGGCTTCCAAGATATTGTTCATAGCAATAACCACGCAGCAATCTGTGAAGGTAAAGAGCATGATATGGTACCAAAAGAGAAAGAGCAGCCAAAATTGTAATGCGATGAGAGAAATAGTCAGCAAAAGAAACCTTGGTAAAATCATGTTCATACCTGGTGACATAGAAGAAAGTATATATATAATTAAGGTTGCACTTTCTCAGGGACAAATGATAAGGGAGCTGCTTTGCTATTACAATAGTCCCTTGCCAAATGTGGAGCAAACTTGTAAACTCTGGTGTGAAAGCAGTCTCCATGCCACAGAACAAACAGTAAAGGATGAAAACCTCTTTGACTCAGGGACTTAAGCACAACTTATCATCAGTCAATGGCTTACTGTCAACTATTTTGATCTGAAGGTCTCTCTTAGAAAGCCAAATATAAAGGTAAAATCAAGAAAAAATGAGTAGTGGTATTAGAGTCACAACTTGGAACAGATTTCACAGAATTAATTCACCTAAGGCACCAAACAATAGAACAAAGAATAGTAACAAATCCTAGAACAGGAAGATTCTGTTTAGTTCAACAAAATGTTAGACATTTTAAAATAATGGGAATGTGTGACCCCTACGCAGGAAAAAAGACAATAGAAATTGCCCTTTAGGAGGACCAGATATTGAACTTAGAGAATGAGGACTTCAAAGCAACTATTATAAATATGTTCAAAGAACATAAAGATACTATGTCTAAGAAGAGGAAGATTTAGGGCCAGGGATTTAGCTCAGTGGTTCTGCCACCTGCCTCGCAAGTGCAAGGTCCTGAGTCTGATCCCTGATACCAAAAAAAAAGAAAGAAAAGAAAGATTTGATGACTACATATCAATAAAGGATAAGAGTACACAAATATACTTATCAATTCTTTATACAGAAATGAAAGTCTGGGCTTGGAAAACAGCAAAGGAAAACCAACAGGGCCTTAGAAAAATGTGAGATACCATTAAACACACAAACAGACTCAAGAAAAAGAAAGGGCCTCATTTTGGCATCACACACTCATACTCCCAGTACTCAAGAGGCTGAGGCAGAAGGATTACAGCAAGTTCAAGGCCAGCCTGAACCTACATAAAAAGAACCCTGTCTCAAACAATCATAAAAAATGAAATTCAAATGGAAATGCAGAGGGCCCTGAAAAGCCAAAACAATATTTTAAAGCCTGAGAGTTTGATGAATCACACTTCCTCCTTTCAATATTCACTACAAAGTTACACTAATAAATATAATGGTGCTGACATTAGGATAGACATAGATCAGTGAAATGGAGTTGAAAATTCAGAAATAAGCCCACATATCTAGAATCAATTTGATTTTCAGCAAGGGTGCCAAGACAGTTCAGTGAGAGAAAAGAATAACCTTTTTGACAAATGGTGCTGGAACAACTAGATCTCCCCATGTAAAAGAGTCTGATTGGACCCCTGTGTCACACTATACATGAAAATTAACTCAAAATATATAAAAAATGTAAGGTCTAAAACTATAAAACTCATTCAAAATTGGAATACATTTTAGTGACCTTAGATCAGGCAGTGAGTGACAAAGGCACATGATACAAGAAAAATGTGACTTGAAATTTATCAAAATTAAAACCTGTTTTTTTTTAAAAAAACTTTTCTTTCAAATAACATTACAAACAAGAAATAAAAACAAAGGGAGAAAATACTTGCAAATCATATATCTCATAATCAGCTTTTATCCAAAATGTATAACAAACTATTCCAACTCAATTATTTAAAAATTCTAATAAAGAAATGGGCCCAGCTGGAGATTTAGCTCAGTGGCACCACACCTGCCTCAAAAAAAAATGGGCCAAAGATCTCAATAGACATTCCTCCAAGAAAGATATGAGTGATTAATAAGAACATTAAAAGATATTCAACATCATTAGTCATTAAGTAAATTCAAACCAAAACCACAGTGAGCTACAACTTCACATCCTGTAGGATAGCTGTATAAAGAAGACAATAGCAAGGATTGATGGCAGTGTAGAAAAATTAAAATACATTGCTGACCTGACTAAATGGTGCAGCTAATTTGGAATAAAGTTTGGTAGATCCTCAAAATTTTAAACATGCAGTTACTATAGGACCCACAATTACATTCCTGGATCCATACCATACAGAAATAAAAATTATGTCCTCACAGAAACTTGAAAATTATAGCAACATTTTTAATCATCAAAAGGTAGAAACAACCTAAATGTTTCAATGATTAATAAATAAAATGTGTTCTATGTAATGGAATACTGTTTGGCAAAAAACAAGCGATACATAGCACAACATGGACAAATTTCAAAGACTTTCTTTGTAAAGTAAGCCACAATACAGTCCATACTGTACAATCCTGTTTATATGAAAATTGTAAGCAAGTATGTAAAGACAAAAAATAGGGGCTTATGACTGATGAAACAGGTTCCATTTTTAAGATGATGAAAGTTTTAAACTTTATAATGTTAAAACCACTGAAGTGTACACTATAGATGGATAAACTTTATGTATGTAAATTATATCAATAAAGCTGCTTAAAAACTTATAAAACCATCTTAGGTCCTGCTTTTAGAAAAGGATGAGATTAGTAATCTTACAGATCTCATGTTTGTTTGGTGTTCATCTTAACTGCATAATAACACACAGACATTTAGAAAAATTATGTTTATTGTCTCTCTCTCTTTTT